GCGATTCGGAACGAGAAAGGTTGAAGAATGATGACGAGGGTAAGATCAATGTTCGGAGACTTTATGAAGATAAGGATTTCCAGAAGTTGGGGAAAATTGATAAAGAAAAGTCAACGATTGAAGAGGAAGTGAAATCGAACGGGTAAGGATCAGGTAAATAAGGTTCAGTTTTCAACCCCGAAGATGATCACAAGATGATCACTGACAAAGGAAACGATAGACTTCAAGGCATGAGGAATGAATGATCGATCGATGTGAAATTCCGGAGAAGACTGACCTCATTCGCGAGTGTGGGAAGAGTTGGCATGTTCAAAGCAATGTCCAAACTTCGAACGGGGGATAATCCAAACTGAACTGTACTGACTCAGACATTCAGCAATTCTTGCCCATGCTTAATACTGGCATAGGAGTCATGACATTCTGAAGGAGGTCAGTGAAGATTTATGATATTACTATATTGCCAACACTTCCTCCAGTTATTTTTTCATGAGCAGTTAATACCATATATTAATTTATATACTCTACAGCAGATTATTTACATATAAAAGGAATTTTTAGTTATTTTCAAACGGAAGCAGTTTCTCATCCCTGTCAAAGATTTTTCCAAGCTTCTCCATTACATTGAAGGTTTAAAGGCTTTGTGAGTTACTGTGCCTGTTAATGCAGCATGTCAAATTGAGGGTTTCACTTTTATGGCCAAGAAATACTTCGAATACTTCAAAGCAAGTAGGCCAGCCCATATGTTATAAGAATGTCGTTCTTTCAATGTATTTTATGTTCCTCGAGAAAGTATATCCATCCTCCCAATGCATGGAGTTTTGCAGACATTGGACTGGAAAGCGCCCTGGGCATTTCCATCCTACGAGGGAATTAGCCCCCATTGAATTTAGTGATCACTAAAAAACATTTTTGGTGGTCCAAGGTGTACGGCCATCGAGCTGTATCTGGTGCCCAAACTTCATCTCTACACGATATGGCAGTAACACTGAAGGTTCAAATAGTTGTTAATCTTGTGAAGTTTTCCATAGCTGAGGCCACTCCGGATTGTTCTACTTCAGCGAAGCATAATTCTCTTTTTTTTTAAATGGATGGTGTGCCATGATTGTCCTCCTTTAAAAAGCCAAACAAGTCTTAATGTTTACTATCTAGTTATAAGTATATTTAGATATTATTTTGAATCAATATTGGTTGAATCATAGAAAGAGTAGTAACGATTCCCGCTTAAGTTGGCTATTAAGTACCACACATTGGTCTTAAATATTTGTTGCTATGTTGGCTATATATGCGCTTCAAAGATATTTTCGAGCTTCGTTTACAACAATAGAGGGTATATTCTGAATACAATATATTGAAACGCCGAAGTAAGATTCATATTTGAAATCTTTGGACTCCTTAAATTTTGTTGGAAAATGTTGATAAAGGCGAGTGGAAGGAAAGTAGGAGGGGAAGAAAGAATCTGGATGTACGAATAAAGAATTGTTGCTGATATTTTTCTTCACAAAGGTGCCACTGGTTGGTTGCTAAGTTTGATGTGGGAATGTTGTCATGCCCTGAAGATGATTAATTTATAAACCAACTCCAAAAGTAACTCTAAATTCTCACACGTGCCAAATGAGTACATCAAATTGTAGACATGAACAATGACATTCATGATGCTCGTGAATCCATGAGACCATAATTTGTAGAAGGGTTTTTCAATCTTAAACCATTGCTTTGTCTTGTCCCAACGCAATTCAAGGTGTAGCGGGAAGCGATATCTGTTGTCTTAGACTATCAAATGTACCCTGTTGTGATTTTTTCCACCTCCATGACCACCCAGTTGAATATTTTTTTTTTTTTATTTTTTTTTTTATCATCCTTATCCAGAAATTTTTGACTGCAGTGCTCATTATACAACATATAATATTCCTGGCCTTCTGGGAAATGAAGTTAATTGTTGTATGTAAAGTGTATGCAAAACCCCCACACCCGCAAACTCAAGTTCTGATGGCCTCCCATTCATGACAAAAAGACGACACGTATCATCAGCTCGTCGTATCAAAGGTCCAGAACGCCCGTTAGGCCTACCAGGAACTGGTCGAACAGTCGACGCGCGCACGGCGCCCACTGTAAACGTCCGTACCCCACCCTTCTCCGTTGTCGGGGAAAATGGGCGAAGCGTACCTTTACGAACGTTACCGATCTCAGTCGACGACGACAACGGCGATGGTGACGTCGATGGGAGGATCCGGAGAAACCGGAAGATAGTACAGTACCAGTGCCCATAGTACTGTATCCGGTAGGGCTAGGAAATAGAAGCGATTCTGACCGGCACGAGTACGTCGCGCGGCGTTTGTGAGCCTCGCGTTGTCGGCTTCGGAAGTGTGATATCGAAGGCAGACGTCAGGCCGGAGATCATTTTAAAAACTATATGCATTATATATATAACACTTTCTCTAACGGACATGAGCCCCCGTAGCTCAGTTGGTTAGAGCATCGGTCTTATGAGCCGAAGGTCGTGGGTTCGAGCCCCCCCGGGAGCACCTTTTCCAGAAGCCGACTTGGAAGGGATATGAGCGTGTCAGGCCGGCTTTACTTTTACTCGACGGCTGTCACCCATGTTTCCTAACGGGTATCTTTGGAACAAGCCTCTGGAAAAGTTATAAACAAGAATTTGCGACATAAGCAACTCCGTCATCAATTTTCGATGATGTCTTACGCAGTGTTGTGACCCCCTTGACAAGTATTAATAAGGCACATGCATGAATCAAAGAACTTGATACTCCACATTGAATATGGTTAACCACTTCATTGTCTTACGTTGGATTATATGATTTGTTGAGATTCTTGAAGCGAAAATGATAAACAATTCCAATTTACAAACTGAGCGGTAGTGAAGAAAACAAGTGGACGAGCCATCACGAATATTTATGTTTTAGTGCACAAACAAATGAGGAGAATTGAACCTAACTTTGGGACGTCAATTCTAACACCTTGCAGCTTAAGTTGTTATGTACAATGGCAAGTTTATATACATACTCGGAGAGTAAGTCTTGATATTAAAACATTTTCTTTCATAAACACCACTTTTAGAATTCTTTTTTGGTCTCTTTTGGACTTCTTTCCTCAATTATTTTTCATCCATTATTATACATATGAATTGTAAGATTATTCAATTTTGATGACAAGTGTCATATGTCCATGAAGAAGTGAGCAGTAGTTTAGAATAGTGGGGGGTTCGCGGTCCCCGGAATATAGTGACCTTTACATACAACAGATAAGTTTATTCCCCAAAAGGCCGAGAGAATTATTTTTTATATAATGAGCACTGCAATCACAGCTTTCTACACAAGGATGACCAAATTTATAAAAACAAACACAATTGGGTGGTCATGGAGGTAGACAGACTCACAAAAGAGTAGATTAATATTCTAAGACAACAGAAATCTTTCTCCCGCTACACCGTGAATTACGTTGGGACAAGAAAAAACAATAGTTTACGTTTGAAAGTCCCTTGTACAAAAAATAGTTTCATGGATTCACGAGCATCATGAATGTTCTTGTTGATATCTAATATTTGATGTACTCCTTCGACACAAGGGTGCATTCTGAGTTTAATTTGGAGGCTGTTTCGTCCGGAGCCTTGTGTAACCTTGAATCTACGGGTTGGATTCAAATTTAACAATAAGAAATAATGTATATTTGGAAATATACCATTTACATAAAATATTATGTAAACATATTGTAATATAACGTCGGATTTGAGCCTGAAGATGCAATTTAAGGCTAAGTTTTATTGAGCCTTAAAAGATGAACCCAAACGAAGGATGCAATTAGACCACCGTTACAGCGATTTCTAGGTTTTGAATGCATTTTTCATGGCTTTCCTTGAAAAAATTGAATAATTCTGTTTTTAAAATATATTTCAGTCTTTTATAGTATGAATCAGTTTTTTGGCTCATTCAGATTTTTCAAATTTTTTTTTTTTCAAAAAAAATCAAAAGTAGAAATATTCTACCAAATACTAATGAATATCTATTTCATTTTAAATAAAGGTTCTCATTTGGCTTATTTCAAGTTCACTTGATTTAAAGGCATTTTCACTTCTCGTAAGAAGAGAGTGCAGATCATGAAGTGCACGGGCAGAGCAGTTCTTATGATGTGCTCGCAGAAATATACACGTCACGTCTCTCGCCTTTGCAAATCTTGAGTCATTTGTATCATCTTTTGCATCTGAGGGCCGGGGCATCCTCAATAAATGAAGAGTAAGGTTGTGAAGGAAATGAGTGTACGCCGTGAGATATTAAGTACATCAAGAATTCAATTATAATCAGACAAAGCCCCGACATAAAGAGAACGAACCAAATCGATATTGTAAATATCACGATATGAAAATTAAAAACCATTACAAATAGAGTAAAATAAATGTTATTACAATTACCACTCTAAATTATTAAAAGTTTTACATGATGTATCTGCCAGCAGTTTTGGAGGGACATAATAACAAAATGACATGTTGAGCATGCATCATCTTGTCATACACCATACACCATTTTTTCCTGCTTAGACATTGATGCATATCACGTGGCCTGATGTCCGACGGTCTTCTTCTAGTTATTGTCATGGGCAGTGGGCATCAATCAGACAGGACTAATCTTTAATTTGATGGAAGAACTTGTCACGTGCAAGTCAACGTTGAAGCGATTTGTTCTCTGAGCTTTGTAAACTTTCTATCGATGCGAAAGTTCGGCCAAAGTGTTAAACTATCTTAAAATTCAAAAGTGTTGCCTACTAACACGTTCTCGCTTGCACAAATTTGTAGGTAAATATAGGTATCGGAACCTTACTATAGTTCCATAGTATTGTTAATTAGTGCAGTCGATGACTCTAGTTACTTCAGAGGTCCAAACGATCGCCGTCACGTTCATCCAAAGACAGTTTGATTGACATTCTTCACAAAACAGCACTTGCACAGTCACACGCCAAATGTATGATCTCGCAGGGAGAGTTCCAGCATGGTGTTCACGAAACAAGGCTGGCCAGTTTCTGGCAAGCACTTTATTGTAATGTACAGAAGAAAAATGACAAACAAATGCATGGGGAAAAGTGGCTCTACAGCTGACATAATGTTACATGTACAAGCAGATAGCCCGGATCTGCAGATTTATATGTGGTGATTCGTCATGACTCTTCTTTTGCAGTACTTGTAGAATTCCGAGCAAAAGAAGAAGGCCACGACACTGACGAAGATGATGCCCCACTCCCAGCTGATGGTCTCCTGCTTGAAGACTGTGGTGTTCAGCGTGGGGATGTAGACGGTGGGAATGGGCATAATGGCGCCCACAAAAACACTGACGACCAACAGCTTGTTGGAGAAAATTTTGGACGCGCCGCCTCCGTCTTTGGTGAACAGACTCGCGCGGAGGTTTCGGCAGTTGTACGCGTGCAGCAGCATCATCCACGTGAAGGCGATCAAAATGGTGGAGCGGGCACGGAAGACTGTGTTACACTCGAAAACATTGCGGTCTGAGTTGCACTCGAGGCCCAGGTTGCCATCGCCGAAGGCATAGATCACGAGCACGAAGTCGGTCAGAATGAGCCCGCCCATGATCACTCCGTAGGCCATCATGTCGGCCAGCAGCTCCTTGCCGAAAAGGCCTTTGGTGTGAGGGGGCACGCTCATGACGTGCCGCGAGGCCGCCTCCACCCCGAGCGCCATGGCAGGCGGCGTGCTGGTGACCATGTTCATGTACAGAATCTGCACGGGTGCGAGCGGGAACACTGACAGGCCCGATCGATCCTTGAAGGCCAGCCCGATGATGAGAACGATGACCTCGCCGACATTAGTGCTGATCAGATGCAGGACGAATTTGCGGATGTTGGAGAAGATCCTGCGACCCTCGGACACGGCCATGACGATGGTGGCGAAGTTGTTGTCGGTCAGGACGATCTCGCTGCTCTGCTTGGCGACGTCGCTGCCGGCGCCCATCGCGATGCCCACGTCGGCCTTCTTCAGACTCGGCGCGTCGTTCACGCCGTCGCCCGTCATGGCCGCGAACTTGCGCCTCCGGTGCAGCGCCTCGATCATGCGCACTTTGGTCGCGGGCGTGCACCGCGCGATCACCAGCGGCAGCTCCTCTAGGCCGTCGATCTCCGCCTCGGACATTGCGTCGAATTCCGGCGCCGTCATGACGGGGTTCGACAGCGACACGACGGTCGCGTCCGCCCGGTCGGGCGGCGCGCGGATGATACCCACCTCCTTGGCGATGGCCAGCGCCGTGTCGTGATGGTCCCCGGTCAGCATGTGCACGATGATGCCGGCCTTGTAGCACTGATCCACCGCGACCTTCGACTCGGGTCGCGGCGTGTCGCGAATGCCCACCAGCCCCAGGAACACGAGGCTGGCCTCCACGTCGGCGCGCTCCCACTTCGTCACGGACTTACCCATCTGACGCTCATCCACCGTCCGATACGCCATGACCAGGACCCGCAGCCCTTGCTTGGCCGAGACCTGGATCTGCTCGTGCACGCCGCGCAGGAACTCGTCCCGCGACGCGATCTCGACCTCGGCCCCGTTCTCCAGCACGCGGTCGCAGAGGTCAAGCACGTTCTCCGCGCCTTTGGTGTAAAGCTCGAAGGCGTCGCGGCCCACGTCGCGGTACAGCATGCTCATGCGCTTGGTCGCGGAACTGAAGGGGTACTCGGTCACGGGCTCCTTGAGCTGACGGAACGACGGCTTGCCCATCTGCAGCTTGTAGGCCAGGACCTGCAGCGCGATCTCCGTCGGGTCGCCCCAGACCTTGCCCTCACTGGCTTCGACGATGTTGGCCGTGTTGCACAATGCGCTGCACTCGACCAGGAGCCGGAACCCGAGGTCGCCCAGCAGGTCCGACGGCGCAATGGCGCTGTCGCGGACGAGGAACTCGCCCGTGGTACTCCACCCGTCGCCGGTCACGACGACGCGCTCCGACCCGGGCCGCCAGACGCTCGTCACGGTCATCTTGCCCTGCGTGAGCGTGCCGGTCTTGTCCGAGCAGATGTTCGTCACGGCCTGCAGAGACTCGAGCGCGACCAGCTTGCGGACCAGCGCGCGCTGGCTGGCCATGCGCCGGACGCCCAGCGCCATGACGATGGTGATGACGGCGATGAGGCCCTCGGGGATGACGGCGATGGAGAGCGAGACGGCGTAGAGGATGATGTCGGTACTGAAGTTGAACTTGTTGACGGCGAACACGACGACGGCGAGCAGCAGCGAGATGCCGAACAGGATGTAGGCCATGAGGTTGAGCCGCTTCTGCATGGGCGTGGACCCCGACGAGGTCTCGGCGATGGACTTGGTGATTTTGCCGATCTCCGTGTTCATGCCCGTGGCCACGGCCACGCCTCGGCCTCGGCCTTTGGTGAGCGTCGTGCTCGAGTACACCATGTTCAGTCGATCGCCCAGCGACGCATTGTCACCCTTGATGGGCTCGACGGCTTTGGCCACAGGCAGCGACTCGCCCGTGAGCATGGCCTCGTCCACCTCCAGATTCAGCACTTCGAAGAGGCGGCAGTCGGCCGGGACCACATCGCCCACCTCGAACACGATGATGTCGCCCGGCACCACGCCGGGGCTCGAAATTCGGCTCAGGCCCCCATCGCGAATCACTTTGGCCGTGGGCGAGGCCATGCGCCTCAGAGCGTCCATCGTCTTCTCAGCTCGGAACTCCTGCACGAACCCCACGGCCGCGTTGAAGATGATGACGAAGGCCAGCACTCCTCCCTCCGCGTAGTCCTGCACTGCGTACGACACCGCGGCCGCCAGCACCAGAATCACCGTGAGCCCGTTCGTGAACTGGCCCAGCAGCACTCTCCACGGATTTACTCCCCGCTGGCCTTTCAGCTCGTTCGGCCCGAACTTCGCCTGCAGCTCTTCCACATTCGCCTCCTTGAGTCCTCTTTCCACATCCGTCTGCAGCACTTGCGCCACCTCTCCCACCGGCAGAGCGTGCCACTCCGTCCCGGACCCGGACCCGGACCCATTCGCCCCATTCATCCTGTCTCCCGATGCCTGTGCACGAAATTCCCTCGAAAATCGATCGAAAATTTCTCGGAAATAATCGAAATTCGAAAATCCTCCCTTCCGATCGTCCCCGGGACGATCTATTCGGCAAGTAATTGCCTGTTGGCGAAGAGTAGGATCGAAGTCGAGGAGAGGAGAAAAGAGAGCAGGCTCGTGGAGAGTCGAACTAGTTCGCAGCTTGGAGCTCGAAATGGAGCAGAACCCCGAGAGCACGCACCGGTCGGGGAACGAGAGATGCACTCTCCTAGCCCAGTAAACCAAACATCATAATTTGAGCATACCGATCCAAATCGAGCGCATTTGTAGGAAGCGACGGAGCACGAAGAGTGGGCGCTATTTTGGCTGGACGCCGACGGTGACGGCTGCCATGCAACCACGTGCCGAGGTGCACTCTAAAGATACCAGCAGTGATGCTGAGCATACACCAGTCCGTCGCTCAGCCGCCCACAAAATCTGATCTCAGAATCACAGTCCCAGATATCGGAGCAGCCAGGCTCAGGCTCAGGCTCGACCATAAAGGCCCTATAACCGCTGCGTAGATTTTCCCCTGCCCCGTATATGACGAAGGTCTGGTACGTCAATGGACTACGAGCTGTGATACGTATGCTGAGCAGCACCGAGGTCTTTGGCTTTCCACGGCCGCCGAGCAGCCGATCGTCCCGATCCACATTGTAGGTCCCCGGCCTGGAGATCGCCCCGCGTACTGCATGTCCGGATGCATGTCCGCAGTAGCGGAGGGCGGATCCAAGGTCGGCGCATCGTGCCAGAATGTCGAAGAGCTCGACCTCTGGACCTCAGTTTCCATCTGAATGGTGTCCGATGGTCACGTCGCCTGTCGTCGTCTCGATGCCCCCGTGTACACGAGAGACGGCTCGCGCTGTTTTCTATGATAGTGTAGGAAGCCAGAGCTTACCTGGGATGCGGTCTCAGATGCGATCTGGGATTTACATCTGGTGTGCTCTTGTGGCTAGCTTGGCAGGTCTGCGCGCTTGATTTCTCGTTAGTGCCTCCTGAATCCCCAAGAGTCGTCCCCTGGACTGACCCCTTTCTCTCGGAGCTTCTCAGCGTGTAACTTTTCTTCTCGGCCTTCTGATCGCATTCACTGAATGTGGCCGCATTCTTGCAATTGTGCTCGAGCGCTCGCCTTCATCGTGGTGCGCACACTGCTTTCGCTGTAGAGGTGTGAGCTGCCTTGCCTGACGACAAGACATAGGGGACGGGTTTCCCCGTGAGCTGCTCGAGTCTGATTGCCAGAGCCGCCTTGCAGCTGCTGAAGCTCGCAATTCAAATCAGAACTCTGAAGCATCTGCCTTTTGGAGAAGCTCCCATTGTCAGATGCCACGTTGCTCTCATGGAGTTCCCTTGGTACGTGGTGATAGGCAAGAGAGCATGGATAGCACCTTCGACTGAAGACTGTCCGTCTCGGTCTCTCTCGTCCATGAAGGTGGACCTTTGAGGTCCACGTAGTTGCGACCTGGAATCAGGTCTCGGAACCTCGGTCATGTTCATTGGTGGAACTCAGGTCCGGTCTCAGGGTCGCCGGGGTCTCCAAACATTGTGCTTGCAGAAAGGATTCTCTCATATTTGACCATAATCCACAGCAGCTTTAATGCGGCCAGAGTCCATCTTATGACCCGTCCGTCGCCCCTGAAGTTTCCAGCCGGACCCCCCTTCCCTGCTGTAGATTCTCTGGCGTGATCTCGAAAGTAGTTCATCTGGAGGCCAGTTCCTCACACGGCACGTAATTACGGAACAAGAAACATCGATAGCTGGACGGGTGTGAACTTGACATCGGCAGCCACAGATAGTCGATCTGACTAACATATTTTTGTGAAACCTTCAGTTATGAAGGTTTCACAAAAATATGAATTAGTGAGTAATGAAGCAAAAAAGGATGGATAGACCCGATCAATTTTTCAAGCATGGACGAAACTGAGATCTTTTGCCAGCCACGTTGTTTTCATATGTATGGAAATATGTGATTCTGCTCCAGATAAAGACTTCGTTGGCTCGGTAGAATAGAGTAACTAATACTTTAGCATGCTCAGGTGATTGATTGCTCTCTTGTAGATCATCAATAACTAGATAATCATTGAGGAATGGATGCAAAAGATGCTAAACACACCCCCAAAACAGTAAATTACCCATTTAGCCTTCCATGGTTAACTCTCCCCTCGTACAAAGTTATCTAACTCCGATGCGTAAGTAGGTACTCGGGTGTTGCATTTCTGGGGTGATATCCGTGGAAATGTCCACACTTGTTAGTCACAGAAACTACGAAAGTACTACTCGACTTCAAAGACTTCGATATCCTGAAGCCGTTTACGCACTTCCGACGTAGAATGAAGCTCGTCGAGGTCAAAGTTATGAAGTCTCTGAAGTGTTAAGAAGCACTTAACACGACTTGAGTTTATTTCAGAAAACGACACCTGGCTTCGTAGATTGGCCCCTCTCCTCCTGTCCGCCAGTACTTCCCAGAATCATGCATTAAACGGGCATGGAGCCGAATGCTGTGTCGCCATGTATCGTATTGGTTCATAACAGTCATCGCCACTCGTACAAGAAGCAAACAAAACCCTCCTGGAGCTTTCTCCAAAGAACCAGTAACTGTGTCACTCTGCCCACAGATCAGGAAGATGCTGTCAGCGTACCTTCTAGAATGGGGGAAGTGGTACTGTACACAGAAAAAGGACATGAGAATCCTCTACAATCTGGGTGCCACGGACACATCAGATACCGCTGCAGGACCGATAGCCAGCAGATCGGCTGACATACTTCTCACAGCTGACTCCTACGAAAACACTTTTATACTAACTGGAGATTCGGAATGCAGTACGGTCTTCACATTAAAATATCTTCTCACGGAAACGGTTGTAGAAAAAAGCATATGTACTTCCCGCACGTCTTCTCCAGTGAGATTGAATTCTCGAACTTCAGAGGACTCGCTTTTCCCCTCAGATCTTTAGTGTAGAATGTCTTGAAAGAAAGAAGGCGACCTTTATTGAAGTCAGCCGAGCTGGTGGTTTTGCTTTCCTGATGTACCCTACAGTTTATGTTACTCCTGGACCAACTTATCAACTATGTTCACGTGACATTGTGAGATTTAGAATACATTGTTGAGAGCTCGTTGTGTTTCTGTACTCGCTGGTTCGCTGGATCCTCAGTACTTTGCCTTGTTTCCTGACAATCTGAGACAGTTACAAAAAAGTTCGAAGAGCCTTTCTCCTTTTGTTGCCTGATATTTGGTCCTTCTTTCTGTGGTAGCACGCACATGGTGGCCCAAATATGTTTATTAATTTATTCGACAATCGAGATTCATTCATTCCAACGTTATTCGAAATCATGTAGTTCCTTCAATAGCCCTTTCATGCTCAATCTAGTGGGGGTATATATATATATATATATATATATACACACACACACATGAATGACATCACGGTACACATGAGCACCAATTGTTGCCATATCGTCCGACATTCTTTCACATTTGCACTTTCTAGATAATAATGGCTAACATGTTTCATCCGTTTAACTTACCACGAGAAAGTTTCGAATGAGTTTACATTTGTTACCAATTATTTTATTTATCTAATTATATGCAAGCTTTATGAAGAAATGAAGAAATTTAAAATCTGAAACCTGAAACAGATTCAACGTTATTATATAGTTACGGTCAAAATTCAAACCTCGAGGAAGGCTGGAACCTGATATAGCACTTGAAACGACTATCGCTGCTAGATCCGGACAAATTTTTCGTGGATTTTCACTACCCAACTATCAATTTCTTCCTTGCAAGAACCAAGTGGGCGAAAATTGCCAACAAAGGATAATGGAACCTTAAAAAACCCTTTATGAGATTGTTAAATCTTTAAAATGCAATTTCGTTTTGGCCCTTGAAGCAATTGATAGCTATACTCAATTCGACACGTCTAGTTGCTATTTTCTTTGCTCCAAAGTTTTCATCCAAGACTTTCATTTGATATAACAACTTCTGGAAGATTTCTTTAAAAAATATCTATTTTAGCAAAAATCTAACATCCAAATATATTTTATTTAAAAAATATCTGACATGAAAATATCTAAAATATCTAATACATCAATATTTGATAAAAAAATATTTACTATATTAAAAATTCTTCATATAACATCACTCATTAGATCAATAAATTTCAAACAAATTCATGACATTTGAGCAATAAAAAATTTAAATATAGATTATGTATCCATAATTTATGTTAATAATTTGCAAAAAATTGAGTAAAATAATCTAAATTCTATATCTAATTTGCAATATAAAATATTAAAATATAAATCTTACAAAATGATTTCTAAATATGAAAAAAAAAATTTGATACTATTATATCCGATGAGTACATTTCGTCCAAACTACATCTTCAATGCCAAACATCAAATAGATGAATATAACAGGATTTTTCATTTTAATAGAATTGTATAATTGACTTGAATATATACATGTATATATAAGAAATACAAAATCCCTAAACCCTAATACAAAATTTTAACAATATCATGAACATCAATGAGTCTCAAGGATTATATCAATATTTATGTTGACAGCTCATAATTTTACTTAATGTATTGTGGTTTGTGATAATTTTTTATTATATTGTTATGTGATTCTTTCACAGATGCACTTTCTAGATAATAATGGCTAATATTGTTTCATTCGTTCAACTGACGACCGAGAGAGAAGTTCAAATTGGGTTTTAATTTGTCACCAATTTGTTTATCTATTTACTCTTAGGCAAGCTTTATGAAGAAATGAAGAAAAACGTATGGTGGAACCTGAAATAAATTCAACATTACTATATAAGTTATGGTAAAAATGCGAACATTTAGGACCGCTGCAACCTGATATAGCACTTGAAACTACTATCGCTGCTAGATCAGGAAATTTTTTTGTGTAATGTCACTTCCCAAAACTTATAGTTTCTTCCTGAAAAGAACTAGGTGGGTGAAAAATGCCAATAAAGGAACCTTGGAAAAACTTTCATGAAATTGCTAATTCTTTAAAATGCAATTTCGTTTTGGCCCTTTGGCGCTTTGGCAATTTTTTTAATTTATCATATATCTATCATCAAAATATATTATATAAAAAAATATCTCATTTCAAATTATCTACAATATCAAATATATAAATTCTCAATTTGATATAACATAATTTAAAATACTAACAACTGTTCATCTTAAATTTTTCACTAGATCAACAAATTCCAAACAAAATTCATGAAATAAAATTGA